TAATTGAGTATTATATGGACGAAGAGGTCATATTTTGTGCTTCGCTATATTGCACTTTATTCAATGCTAATTGTAATTGTGATTAGACAACAGTTTGCATTTTTTTTCAGGTGCATATATATTTCTCGGAATTGGGGAGACATGGTCAAACACATTGAAGATATTCCTCAACTACAGCATCTTCGTGGTATATGACAGTGCTGAAAATAAAGCCGAAATTAAAAATAATGGCGATGGTTTAAAGAAAGGTGGTCAAAACAGTTTGTCCACACGCAAATCTATGAGATATGGTCAACCCCATAGCACTGCGTGTACAAAGAACAGTGTCCGTCTTGAATGCAAGTGGTCCAAAAATATTTTTACTTTTTTTACAGAGGCAGATTTCCCAAACTTGGGGAGACATGTTGAAATTATCTTACGGTATTCCTAAACTACACGATCTCGGTGTAATATGTCGAAAACGGCATTGATAAAACTCAAGTTAACAAATAGCGACCATTTACAGAAAAAAATGGGGAAAAAATGTATCTACAGTGTGAGTAAAAAAAAAGTGGAACCAAAACCCCAACAATTATATTTCATATTTAAAAACATGTAGCACCAAAAAACAATAATGACTGGAAAGCCAATTTCAATTTCATAAGGTTTTGCATAATTTAGAAGGATGAAATTGAATAAAGATTAAAAGCCAAATACCTTTCCCCGTTCGCCTATTTCCCAGACGCAAAATATCTTCACATACAATTTCTGGTGTCTGGTGTTTAAAAATGAATGTGGCATGTCTAGTTAAAATGCTTGAAGCGGTAAACTCAGCTTCCGTACGACGCATACTCTTCCCGCGTCCCAGTTGATGGTTCGAGAGATACCTTCCTGTCGACAATGTAGATGTAGTGTTTCAGGATTCTTAATAATTTAGAGAGGTAAACAATGTGGAGATTGACTTCCCGTACCCCCAAAACATTCGCATGAAAATGCGCGTCTGGCGGTAAAAAGTAAAAGTGAATTGTGAAGTTCAAATGCTTGAAGCGGTAAAACTAGCGTCCGTGCGATGCATACTTCCTGTGCCCCGGTTACTATTGATGGTTCGAGAGATGCCTTCTGTTCGACAATGTAGATGTAGTTTTTCAGGATTTTGAATCATTGAGAGGGGTGAACAATCTGGAGATTGACTTCCCGTACCCCCAAACATTCGCATGAAAATGCGTGTCTGACGGTAAAAACTAAATGTGAAATGTATAGCTCAAATGCTTGAAGCAGTAAAACTAGCGTCCGTGCGATGCATACTTCCTGTGCCCCGGTTACTATTGATGGCTCGAGAGATGCCTTCTGTTCGACAATGTAGATGTAGTTTTTCAGGATTTTGAATCATTGAGAGGGGTGAACAATCTGGAGATTGACTTCCCGTACCCCCAAACATTCGCATGAAAATGCATGTCTGACGGTAAAAACTAAATGTGAAATGTATAGCTCAAATGCTTGAAGCAGTAAAACTAGCGTCCGTGCGATGCATACTTCCCTCAACCTTCTCTTGATCATTCAATAGATACCTTTGCAAGACTGCACTGAAAACAAGAATAGCGGCAATGTTTTCCAGTTGGTATTTAAGCAAGACAAACCTCAATAAATACCAACAAGCACTATTTCTGTACAAGTATATAAACAATTTACTGCCATTTCATATTCAAACATGTTTGTACATGTTATGTACGTAACTATAACACTCGTGTGTATACTAACTTGCATTTCCGCATACCGCAACATATAACATCTGCCTTTCAATACAACAAACAATTCATTACAATCTTCTGTTAGTTTGTCTACTTGTCATGACCAATTATCTGGCAACAATTCACTTCAATGCATTACTTAATTTTTGATAGCTGGACTATCGTATGTGTGCAAAAGTGAGGCAGGTGTTTTGTTTGGACTGCCACTGCAGCCCATCGCCAAGTTGTTCTCCGTTTTGCGACTCAAGGCACTGTTAAGAGAGAGAAAAACAATATTTTGTCATAATATTTTGTCTCGTTTGTGTGATTTTCATGACCAGTCATCTGGCAACAATTCAATTCAATTCAATGCATAACTTAATTTTTGAGATAGCTTGTCCAGCTGGGCTATCGTTTGTGTGCAAAAGTGAGGCAAATGTTATGTTTGGACTGCCACTGCAGCCCATCGCCAAGTAGTTCTCCGTGTTGCGACACAAGACACTTTTGAGGAGAGAAAACAATATTTTGTCTCAATCTTCTGTCTTGTTTGTCTACTTGTCATGGCCAATCATCTGGCTACACAAACCTAAATAAATACCAACAAGCACTATTTCTATACAAGTATAAACACAATGTATTGCCATTTCTTATGCAAACATGTTTGTACACGTAATGTATGCAACTATAACACTCGTGTGTGTTCTAATTTACATTTCCAAATACCGCAACATATAACATCTGCCTTTCAATACAACATGAAAAAAAATATTCCGGACCTAAACTATGGAATAATTTACTATTTTCTCTTAGATGTTCAAGTTCATATACTATTTTTAAACGCTCACTTAAATTCTAATGAAAATATTTTTATATTTCATGTGTCTCTGCCCTTGGACTTTGTATGGCGATCCTACTCGTAGCCCATTATTATTTCTCATTACTTTGTTTACAACTTGGTATATTTGTTTTTCTGTAATAATTCATCATTTTTTGTGTAATGGCATGCCTGATTCAAGCCATGCTTTCAAGGTTTTGCCACCTCTAGTGGCCTTTATATCTTAACAAATATTGTATTATGCTTCATTTCTGCCATTTAGAGGAAATCAGGCGGGGATCCGGGGGGGGGTCAACCCCCCACTCCCTACAAGCTGTGTCCCCCCCCCCCCCCCAAAAAAAAAAAATCACACAAATTCCTAAAAAAAATGCCCCCCCCCCCCCCTACTGTGACGGCCCCCCCCAAAAAAAAATATACTGGTATAATGTCCGCCTGTTCAAAATACGGTACACCATTCTGTAATCTATTGTTAATAATCGTCGAATTTGAACAGCGCCCCTATTGAAATATGGTACCAGCCCCCCCCCCCCCCCACGTTTTTTATTTTACGGAGGCCATGTGTCCAGAGAAGAAAAAAACCGGTGTACATTTTCAGATGTTTTTGCTGATGACACCCCCCCCCCTCGAAAATTCCTGGATCAGCCCCTGGGAAATACATGAGTTCGTGATGCAATTCGGCGTGGACTGTTTGCATGGATGAGAATCAAGTCTATTCAAATGTAATGGTGAATGAATAAATTATCAGCAGCGCAATTAATAATGCAAGAAGGCAGCCGGCAAATTGGTTGTCGTTGCCCATTAAATTAAATTTCATTGAATAACTCCCTCGTCCGTGGTCCTGCGCGGCGGTTAAGTATCCAAGCCTGATTGCACTGGGCCATTAATTGGAATTGAAATTACCCATTCGGCAAAATTTATTGTTCCTTGTTAATGCTAAATTGCAGAAGCTTTGTCAACAGCTAGCTGGTCATTATGCAAACATCCAAATACATGTACTGAGTAACGCTTCATTTTCTTTTGTAAAAATTGTTCCAAAAATAATCGCTATGCTATTGATATATAGCTTAAACATAAGTGATATACCTCGCCTTAAATATGAATTGATTTTTGACGTAGGATATTACCTAAATGAACCTTTGTTGATGATGTACTATTAATTTTAACATTTGGTTTGCTATTGTACAGTGCCTGGTTAAAGGGCGTATGTGCAGACGCCTTACGCGCGAACGCGTTATCACAAAACAATGTTCCCAGCAAAAAGTCATATGCAGAACAATGTTTCTACTTTAATGACATTTCAACATTTTCGTCGCAAATTAACACATTGTTCCTAAAATTATGGTTCATACCTGTGACAAATTTAAAAATCGGGGGAGCACATTGGATTCATAATACGCATGAGAACCTTGATACCTTTCAATGCAATTTTCTTGCGATTGTTTTTCGCGTCAGAGCGCTCATCTGACGGTATCATTATTATAAGAATATCTTTCTCGCAGATTTCAATTTCTTATTCTCTTTCTTTCCTTTTTTTTTCAAATTGGATGACGAGTACCTACTACCTCCATACCCATTGCAGGAAAGCTTCAAATTAATTCCCCCAAACAAACATTTCTGTCCGACACACGAGGGCGCTGTTCCTATGAATGCAAACAAAATCAATTAAGAAAATGATTTCCCTACTTTGCACTGTTGAAACAGGTATAATAAAGCGCATGCGCAATGCTGATTCGACTTGACTAGCTGACCAAAAGCTTGTTTAACTGACTATCCTCAATATATAGCGAACTAAAAATGTGTCCACACAACATTGCTGGACAATCACTGTTGGGGAAGCACTATACAAATTCCACTCTTAACCTTTGCACATGGCATTCGTTTGACCTACATATGCGAAACAATATACTGAGGTTGGAATCAGTTTGCAAAGCAACGCCAACATCCATCATTTCCTCCAATTTAAGGTGTTTCGCATTAAAGGATTGTCCAAAGAATATTACATCAAATTGATCAAATATTTTATTATTCTTGTTATTAATATTATAATTATTACTTTTGGGACTGAAACCAAGGATTCCTCAAAAGCGCCCTAGGCACTGTAGCTGGCAAGCCTTAAGAAACCTGTGGAGAGAAAACCATGAGGAGAAATAACAGTTTTAGAGGTGGGAGGAAAACCCCAGAAGAATATTCTGGGGAAAGACCCACCCAATCAGGTAGGGACTGAAAACACAACCCACATATTGGCTCGGGTGGGATTCGAACCCGGGTCAAAGCGGTGGAAGGCAAGGAAAGTTCTGCTACGCCAACCGGACCCCTCATAATTTTAACAACCATCATTCGCGAGTGCCATTTGAATGTCACGCGCAGGTATTTAGAATGCAAAACGTGTGCGTATTCTGTATTCACATCTCCAGTCGTGACTTCGTATTCCACAGATCTGTCTCGGTTTAATCACAACCATGAATGCGACAAGGTGGAGCGGTTGGGTCGTCTGCACGGCGCTATTAGTGGCTGCTACCTGCACGCAAGCTTCTGCTGAGAACGGTGAGTTTAGCACTAATGAAAACCTGTATTATAAAGTGTGTATCTAAATAGAATGCAAACAAAGTCCCAGAGTTATTAAAGGGAATGTTCAACATTTGCTTTTGCTGCAATTTTCAGAAATAAATGGATTAGAGGATTAGTATGTTACAGAAAATATTGTTCAACTGACTTGTTTCACGTTTTGGGCTTGTAGATGCTGGAAAAACTACGAAAACCAATCTTGTTCTTGTAGTCTAGTTCCCTGACACCACTTAAGATAAAACGGATCAATTTATAGATTTCGTGGGGAATTGTAAGGTCAGGGAATCAGTCTAGCAGGCTCGTACCCCTTCACAATTGCAAAGAAAACGCGGAATAACTAATTATGAAAAACTAGGAGCAGTTTTTGAAAAAAAAAGCCAGTTTTCTCCAACGCTGGTCGGCCGACCAGCGTTGGAAAAATACCAGTTTTCTTGAAAATGAGAGCACACTAGGAGCCATGATTTCACAGGATGCTTGAGACTGTCATTCCCTAACAATCGAGTAAGGTATTTCGTGAGAATTTGATCATTTCGTTTTGTGATGTTTGCAAATGTTGTATCTTCCCTTTAACCAACACAGATAAAATATCAGTATGGTTTGAAAGATCCGTCTTTTCACTAAAAAATGAGACACCAAACGTCCAAATCTGATAATGTTTGAGTAATTGACCATGGGACTAAGTTCTCAATGTTAGGCATTGAGATAAGGGTAGCCTAATTTCATCTGTGTGGATAATTGCCTGGCCTACAAAATAAGGAGTTTAACGAGTTAACACAATTATTAATACTTTTTTGCTATCAGTTTGTAAACATGTTTACATGGTAAACTTTCTTTTTAGCATGTGGTGATTGGAAAATTGATCATAAATCTGTCAATAACTATCAGATTTGGACATTGGATGTCTCATTTTAAAGTGGAAAGGGTGTTTCTTTCAAACCATACCTATATTGTTCATGTTGGTTAAATATTCTACGTCTGGCATTCCGTTATAATTTGTTGGCTTTTTTTGATACGCACTGAACATGTTGAGTTAGAATTATCTGGACCCAAATTAAAGACAAAATTACAAAGAAGGAGCAATTATCAAAACAATTAAGTGCAAATGAGACATGTAAAAAGGCTGGCATTTTAGAAATAGTTAGTTTCGTTTATATCCATTGTACTAATTTGAAGAAAAGCGCTAGCAAAGAACACACGATAAATCACACTCCGACTACGGTTCTATGGTTCAACAAATTTATTGAAATCGCTTCTGATGTGAAGCAGTGTAATAATGAATACAAACCTAGTCAAGGTGACTGACTCACTTGAAGTTACTTTAACAAAAGGCACATTTTAAACCAATTCCGGGTGCAGACTGGAAAATGAGCCACTTCAATGAAAATGGAATAATTTCTCACCACAACCGCTAATTTAAAAAAAAAAATCCTGTGAAAGACAAGGTAATAACCATTCATATGAAACACTCAGTTATTTTTCTTATAATACTCTGCCACACCAAAAATGGTGAACTTGGGACCAGGTCATTCTGACTCACCCTGTATTGGGCTTTCATGGACTATTGACGAATAGTCGAAGGTTGAAATCGGCACTGAAACTGAGGTCATCAGTGCCATCTATTGTAGAGAGGATTACAAAGAAAGAAAAATGTCCTTAATTCTACAATGGCTTAGCATTGATAGCCTCGGTTTTAATGCTAATTTGGGATTCGTCTATAGAACTGTTCAGCAAATAACGCCGTGGAACCCATACGCATTGCAAAATTTCATTGCATATTTGAGATTGTATCGGGTCTTCACGCAAATGAATCTAGTTAGAATAATTACAGAGCTCGACTTACAAATCGTAAACCGTGATTTGCAACATCGCACGACGTAATTTTTAATAATTTAACTATTTAAAAAGTCAAAGGTTTTTGTTCTTTACTGTGGCAAAGATTCAAAAGAGGTTCTGCCTTGAAATTGCCTAGAATTACGTATGAAGTAATTTTATATATGTTAACTGGGATTTGCTCAATTAATAGGCAGCCAAATCATTTCGAATCAATCACAACATGTCAACGATTTGTCTTTACTTTGTCAAAGATTTCAAAAGAGATTTTGGTTCAGTGTTTCCTGGGAATTTCCCACGGTTATTCAGCAAAACATCTATTTTATGAATGGCAAAGCAATAAGTGTTCATGCCATTGAATGAACACTTGTGTTTTATTTGTGTAAAATTGTGTTTTATTTGTTTTGCGGTTTTTTTAAGGTTACCATTATCAAAAGCTAGCGATACACCAATCGAACATCGACGAAGACATTTATTACTGCCAGATTTGGGTAGGCCATTTTTTCACGACACATTAAATTACTCAAATCCTAACTCTCTATACAATCGGTACGATCTTCTCTAGCAGTGTTATGAACACTAACATCTTCTATCAAAGTTGAATTCTATTGATATAACACAATATTTAAACCATTGCTATGACGTCAAACTATTGTTAAAGGTGTGGATTCGGAACTACGAATCACTTACACTGGTCACAAAGTGTGGAGTGGAGCAACGAATCTTTAGTAAAGTGTGGATTCGGAATTACGAATCCACGCATTGAACATGTCGGACAATTGTTCTCCATTATGAGCATTACTAGGACCGTATGCGTGAAAACTTTCCTTCCAAAAATTACCAATGCCTCTTCACTGTCAGATTCTCCGCCGTCTATGCAAAAACTAATTTGAGTCGGAAAGAAATCGTCGTTTGAACTATCCATGTTGACGTAGGAGCCTACACACAAAATGATTTGGTTGTACGGGTGTGACGATACAAATGCTTAACACGCCAGAATGCTTGATTACGTATAAGAGCCTCTCATCGAAAAAAAACTCCCTTGTAAATTACCCTAATGGCCACGACTCGACACGAGATATGTAAGTCTTTTCATCTCCACTCAACTGGTCTGTTAATGACAGTACTTCTTTAGACGCAATGGTTTAAGTCGGAGAATACACTCGCATGTGTGGATTCTTAATTACAAATTCACTCGGCGCTTCGCGCCTCGTGAATTCTTAAATTACGAATCCACACTTTCTCGTGTATTCTCCTTAACTGAATCTCTATGACTGAACATGCATGTGTGACATTCATGTCATCTATCAAATGTTGTTTTGTTTTTATAGTGCAAGCAATATGAAAGGGAAACTGTGAGAGAAATGAACCTCATTGATTCTTTGTAGCGTGAGCTGAAAACCTGGTAACAATTTCAATTCGCCACGATCAATTACGTTGAGGTTTTTATTAACGTTATGTTTATTATCAACGGTTGATTGCATGCGTTTTTTATATGGAGCATGCATACACTGATATCCGAAATGAAAAAGCGTTCATTACTAACACATGAGAAACGTCTAAACGCATCTGAATGCGTTTGAACCAACTTGAAATTAGTGTAAGCATTTCCCAAGACCACGATATAACCATTGAATTTCAGTTTCATAGGCATCTAGAAACAGATAATTGTTGTTGTTTAAAATCCGTTCAGCTTCTATGATAAGCACAATAGAAAAGGGAAAGGGTTGTTCGAGAGCAAGAGTGTAGTTGATAGTCACGTAGACCACCAAATACAAGTTGAAAATTTAAAACACCAAGTACACGGTTCAAATTTGTTTCATGTACCTGTTATATCAACATTGTATCAGAATAGAGGGGGCACGTTATCATCCCGGGGCTGCTTTTGAGAACGAGGGTGAAATTACAAACTCGTCTAGAACGTGGTTATTCAGCGGGTGACTGTTCTATGTTCGATACCCCTATGTTCCGACACCCCGCACATAAGATTGTGTTACTCCGGCTTAGGGTTGAAGTTAGGGTTTAGGTTAGGGTTATAGGGTTAGGGATAGGATTGGGAATATGTGCAGTCGGAACAGAGGGGTGTCGGAACAGAGGTGTGTAACCGTTCATCGGACACTCTTTGCAATGACTTCTTCGTCTTGCTGAACAACTTAGACAATAAATAAATGAATTGGAAAATGTATGGTTGCTGTCCTTATACTTTGTCAAACTTAGTAATGTATTCATATGTTTTATTGCTGCGTAATTCCGACAGCAATTCCGTAAAATCCAGTTCTGTGCGTACGTTCGACAACAGTTATGATGTACAAGGTCGTTACGCGGTGATACCTTAGTTTGATGTGGAATTTTCTCCTACAACTCGATGTCACATTACTAGTGATGTATCGCATTCACTTTTTCCAACAGCAGCTCATTAAAGTGTCTGACCTGGACGTCCGAATTTACGGAGTTGCCCTTAATGTATTTATTAAAGTTAGTGTGGGCCTAGGATCGGACATTCAAGTGTGCAGAACCACGGTCGAATATTATATATCCTAACATGCAAATGTTATGCCACCCTGCGCGCCAGACAGTCAGAGTCGACTTTAAAAACTGCGACGTCATTTCGATCAGAAATTTGGTTTGAGCTGTTGATTGTTAATTTGGATGCCATGTTTTTGTGCTACAACAACGGGTTACCAAAGACCCGATAGAAGGCCTGGCGCTCGCTGAATGGTCAGAATGTTGATGTCAAAACGCAGTCTTGTTTTGCAGAATTAATCGCCAAATCTCCTCGCATATCATAGACCCTTGATCTGCAAGGGCTTATTCCATAGACTAAGTATGTAAGCTATCCGTCTCGAGTGGGGTGTGAATGTGACATAGGCCTCCAGGTATCATCAATTCATTGTATCTTGTGTGACTCCAAAATAATTGGGTAGTTAATTCTGAAAGGTGTCATGTACAGTTTGTAAACTATACAGACTGCTAAAAATGACAAGAATAAAAGCCAGAATGGAGTGATTATGTGGACCCGTCGCTCTATAAGGTGTCTAAAATTGTTCATCTCCGGGAACATAGCAAAATTCGAAAATTTGAATTATTTCTACCTTCACAAGCGTGAAGCATTTATTGTACTATTTTCTGTAATATTTCCACTGGATTAA